CACAGGGGGGACCACAGGGAGGATCACAGGGGGGACCACAGGGAGGACCACAGGGAGGATCACAGGGGGGACCACAGGGAGGATCACAGGGGGGACCACCAGGGGGAACACAGGGAGGATCACAGGGGGGACCACAGGGAGGATCACAGGGGGGACCACAGGGAGGATCACAGGGAGAATCACCTGCCCTGGTTCCCAGAGAGGCCTCGTGCTGGGTGACACCAGGAAGAAAAAGGACAGGAGACAGCAGTGTATGCTGATAACACACACACACACACACACACACACACACACACACACAGTGTTTGCTTACATAGAGTTGTAAGTCGTGTTTGTCATAGTGGGTTCGTTTTACTCACTAGCCATTATGACGACTGACTTAACATGCCATTGACGACTTCAGCTCTAGTTTAGCTGAACCCGTGTCAAATTATGGTACTTTAAAAGTGTGACTAGGAACACTGCTAAGGGTGTATTTTCTTTTATACAAACAATATTTACATATACAATTTGCTTATAAAAACAAGAGTTGCCTATATTAGTGAAAATACACACACACACATATACATAATGTATCAGATTGAGAAAACATTATTGCAAAATAAAAGTACCCAGAAGCCTCACAGCCACCTATACCCCAGGAGCCCCGGGAGGAGTTCGGCCTCATGAAGCTGAGGCCCTGGCACTCGGGGTGCTGCAGCCAAGATCACTCCGCCTGTGCCGCAAATTACCCCTCAGACAACAGGCACACCCAGAGTCATGGTGGGGTGAAAGTCAGGGCTGGGATGAGAACTAGACTTACAGTGCCTTTCTCCCTGCGCTGATGATCAAATGTCTCCTTGTTCTCTTTCCTCACAGGACGGGCACAATGATAAGGACAGGCAAAATATACCTGGAGAGTGGGCTACGCACCCCAGACCTGAGGTAGGCGGTGGGGTCACAGAGACATTGTGCATCAAAGATACCAAATTCCACGTATTCCTGATGTGCAGATCCATACAATGACAATTAACACTTGTCATAATCTGGAACTGAGATAGCATGGCCTTCGTGTGCACACAGCCACCATGTAGCAGACGCCAGCCCTGCTGTGAGGCTGTCAGACCCGGGGCAGCCCTACTGCCCGCTCACCAGGAGCTGAACGCAGCAGCCACACAGAGCCTCCTTGGGGACCAGGCTTCGTTTTTGTAAAACGAGGAAAGTGAAAGTGCCCATCTCACAGTCACCCTGAAGATTAAATGATGTACGGCATTCAATGAACCTGTCATAGTGATCTTCATAATTAAATGCTCAATACTGGAAAGTATGCTTGGAAATATAATTCACAATTGTAACTAACTTTTAGAAAAGGTGACATCATCTGTCAATGATTTATGAAGCACTGATTCCCGTAATATGATGGAGTCCACAACTATGAACGTGTAAGAAAGTCCCGTAAGTCAAGTTCAACAAATATCTGTGATGTTTCCTTGGGCAGGTGATCGTCACACGTTAATACACTGGAGCAGTTGCCTGTGTTTAAAGTCATGTTAAAGTGCCAGCTATTTATTTTTAGTCTTGTATAACAAATTTTTTTTGGATTATTAAAATCTACTCAAAATTAATTGCTTAATCAATTTATTTTTTCAAATATCAACATGTCTCAGTTGACCAGCTAACTCACTCAAAGACAATAATGATAGTTATCCAAATATTTTTACTTAAATTTTTACAAGCACATATGCACGTGTGCACGCGTACACGCGCGCGCGCACACACACACACACACACCATGTCACAATAGAAACCCATCCAAGACAGTAAATAATGAACTCAATTTTTAAAAACACACCTACCTCCCTGGCCTTGCTGACAACCCTTCTTGCTTAGAATATCTTCCACAGAGTTTTCAAAAACTAGGTGAACATTCTGAAGCAAACCCTGTAAATACATACAAGGAGAAAAATAGAGCAACAGATAAACATCCAATGTCTGATGCCAAGCTAACTGACATTCTAAAGATACAAGTTGGAATCTTCAAGTAGTGAGACTGTGTCCTTCTATGTAGCAGGTTTGTAATGTCTTTATAATCAGTTTTTCTACATATACTACTTTTGAAATTTTGTTTTTAAGCATGACACAAGAAATGGAAGTGGAATGCAAGAAATCTACAAACTACAAGAAGGAAATGTTGCGTCACTAAGAGTGAGGATGGTCCTCGGAGGAGCATGGCCTGCTGCGTCTCTGGGCACTTCCCAGGGACAGTGAAGGCCATTCTTCCCTTGCAAGTCACTCATGATCAGTGAGTTCCTACGTTTGGCCAAGGGGCTCACGGAGGCCCACTGGTCCACTCAGAGACACAGATCGTGGCCTATAGAAGCGCCTTCCACAGCTGAGTTACAGTGGGGCTGGGCCAATCCTATATGGTGTGGAACTCCCTGACGCCCATGAGAGATTAACTCAACAGCACGCTACACATCTCTAGGCCTTTGTCTCAAATTACTGAGTTTAACCTTGTATTTATTTCTTTCCAAGACCTCCATGTTCAGGAGAAAGCAATGTCCTAACTAACACACCATCATGATTCTAAACGCTCGCAATTTAAGGAAGATTCATTTGCGAACATGTTTTAACTAAAATGGACATGACACTCTTCCGTCGTAAATCAGTCGCCCTGTCCCCTGGAAAAGGACCCTTGCTGCTTTGCTCTCCCATCATTTTGCCACTAAAGCAAACATTTAGAAGTGGTTTCAGTTGTGATCTAGAGTCTGAGGTTGCTAGAAACATTCGAATGGGGCTGATTCCTTGATCATCAAATGGAGCCTCGGTCTCAACTGATGATTATCAGCCCAGTCAGAAAAGCACACCTGGGGCAACTCTCTCTGATTAATCATGGCTTAGAAAGGTGAGCGTTGTTGTGTCTGTGTGTGTGCTGTGCATGTTGTCTGCATGTGGGGGTGAGTGCATGCGTGAAAGTAGGTATGTGCTTTCAATTGCCAGTGGCTCTGCACGCATGGTGTATGCACGGGTGCCTGTGTATGTACACATGCATGCTGGAGCTATGTGTATGCATGCATTCATACATGGTGCTTGTGTATGTGTGTACAGGTGCCTGTGCATATGTATGTGTGCATGCACATGTGTGGTTCTGTGTCTGCATCTATATGATGTTTGTGTGTTTGTATGTGTGTGCGATGTGAGTGAATGCAAGTCTATGTATGGTGTTTATGTGTTCATGTGTGTGACTGTATGGTACTTGTATGCACGTGTGTGTTCACATGTGTGTGGTGTGTGCACACCTGTTTGTGTGTGTGCATATGTATAAGTGCCTATATGTGGTGTTTGTGTGCACATGTGCGTGTGTGTTCACATGTATGTGTGTGGTGTGTGTGTCTGTGGTATGTGCATACATGTGAGTGAATGTGAGTGTATGTATGGTGTTTATGTGTGTGTATGTGTGCCCATGTCAGGTGTTTGTGTGCACATGTGTGTGGCTGTGTGTGGTGTGTATTGTGTACATGTGTGGTATGCACACACGTGTGTGTATGTGAGTGCATGCATGGTGTTTATGTGTAAATATGTGTGCATGTGTTCCCATGTGTGCATGCATGGCTGTGTGTGGCATGCATGTGTGCACATGAGTGTATGCCTGGTGTTTATGCAGGTGTATATGTGTGCCCATGTATGGTGTTTGTGTGCACATCGGCATGCGTATGTGAGGGTGTGCTCACATGTGTGTGGCATGATGTTTGTATGTCTGTGCATGTGTGTGTGGTGTATACACACATGACTGTGAGTGCATATGCAGCGTTTGTGTATATGTCTTTGCATGTGTGTGTCCGTGTGTGTTCACGTGTATGTGGTGTGGTTTGCGTGCATGTGTGCACATGCCCGTGGCTGTGTGTGGTGGGCATGTGTGAATGCGCCATGTGCTTCTCCAAGGCCAGGCTTTGCTGCTTAAGCCCAACATTGCATCACCAGCTGCGCTGACGGGTCAATTCCCAGCAAAGCTCTCTCTTCCCTCCCAGCGGCTGCCTCCTCACAGGGCGTACCCGGAAGTGACTATCTCTGGCAGAGCCTTTGGCCACATACATCCGGCTCTTTTCTGCCTGCAGGTGCTCGTAGAAGGGCTCGTCCAGTGTGAAACTGTCTATGAGGTCGCAGCCCACGTGCAGGCTGTAGGTCTCGCCAGCCACCTGCACGGTGACATTCTTCCACTGGGAGTCAGCCAGGCCCACGTCCTCCAGGGAGACCACGTGCCGGGTGCCATCCACCCAATAGGTGAGGTCTAGCGTGTCCGCAGGGCCGTTGGAGACAATCTCGAACTGCCTCTGGGACAGCCCAGGGCCCTCCAGAGCCAGCAGCGTGCCCCGGGACTTTCCATCCTGCTTCAGCTGCGCCGTGAGGAAGAAGCCTTCCTTCTGCCGCATGATCTTGGTGATCCTGCTGAGGTCCTCAGCGTTCACGGGCGGGATGTAGTCGAAGCGCACGAAGCGGTAGGCTGGCATGCCAGGGTCGGGCCCTCGGAACTGCTTGGCGCCAATGGTCTTGCGGTTGATGTTGCTGACACTGAAAAGGTCGAAGGTCATCTCTTTGTCCTGGTGACCAGCTGCAAAGGAACCGCAGAAGAGAAGGGTGACGTAGGGAAGAGGGCGAGGCTCGCCTCACCCAGGGTGACAAACCAGAGCCTCGTGTGTGAGGAGATGAACAAGGCCGCCCCTATTCCGCAGCATCTCCCCCTCTTTGACAGGAAGGCTAGAGCTATTGCTGATGAAAAGTCACCATCCTCAGTGCCAGTGGCACTACTCGGAGTGCAGTCCCAATGCGGCTGCAGGTCTGTGGGTCAGTTTCTGTCCCTGGCTGGCAAGGAGTGTGTGCCAGGAGGTAAATCGGTGGAGCCAGGCAGTGCCCTGCCTGCCTATTCCACGGGCCCTTTGCATAGCACGACCTTCTTGGCCAGGGAAGCCACGCCTCGACTGACATTCTGGTCCTGACTTTGAGACAGCGCACAGTCTGGCTCTCCCATCTGAGATCGGAGGCTGAAAAGCAGCCTTCCTCTCTACCAGTCAATGGCTCCGGAAAACATTAAATAAATGAATAAACTAGGAAAGGCATGGATCTTCAGCCTTCCTACTGATAGGGTGTCAGAAAGCGACTGAATCGTACGTTGCTTTCTTGAGATCAACCGCCTTAACCCACTTATGTCAGCATCTTGTTATTTCTTATAAACGTATTCTCCAACTCATAATGCACCCTGTGGGCAAGGATCCTAAACTGTGATGCGGCTCAAGTAGATAAACAAATGGTTTTCAGTCACCACCTAAACTGTTGGCGAGAAAAGTGATCAGACCTCACCAAAATCCTAGCAGTTTAAACAATTCAAAGTAATACCCTGAGCGGAAAGTTTAAACAAAGGCTTCCTTTCCATCTAACGTCTGGCAAATTACAACAGTGTAATACACAGTGTTGCTGATAGAAATGGGCATTCTACCACCTTCCATGTAGCTATTTGGCAATAATTTAAAAAAATTAAAAGCTTTGATTCAGCAATTCTAATTTTGCAACCCACCCAAAGGATAAAATCACAAATGCTATTAAGATTTATTCACCACACTTGTTTTGTGTCATCATTTATGCTAATGAAAATAAGCCAATCTAAGTGGAAGTTGGTTGAAAAATCTGAGGCTTTCTCTGAGATGAAATATTATGCCGTCATTAAAAACCATATTGTAGAAAGGTAAACATGGGAAAATATTTAAAGGAGGAAGACAGTGGGATAAAAGAAGTCAGTCAACGCCAAATACTTGCAGTGTTGTGAACATCCTGTACAGAAACGAGGGGAACTGTGCACAGAAAGACACCGCAGTTCTAGGTGGAATGGTATTTTTCTCTAACACCTGAATTTTCCAAAGATAAATTATCTCACATCATATCACCTCAAAAGTAAGTTACTGTGCAGACACTCACCTTGCGTGCTGGGCCACACCCACAAAGCCAGCAGGACCAGCCCCCAGACCATGCTGCCTCCTGCAGTTTTCCTCCTGGGAATACAAGAACCCCTTGTTAGTGATGAGTTCACAGCTGGAATCCTGCCTGTGAGACAGTGGCCCGGTGCCTCACATGACCATTGAAAAACAGTTTGCATGTAAAACTCAGCACCAACTGGATTCACGGGAAGCTAAGAGCTAAGGAGGAGATTTGCTTTCAAGCAGGATTCTTCGAACTGAAACTAAGATTTGTTGGGCTAGCATCTGCTGGCAAGCACCATACTCATCAGGCTCTAAATATTCCTATAGTTTCATCTTCACGATGGCCTGGGAGGCAAGTGGTGCTCTAATTGTCCTCATTTTATAGATGAGCAAGTTCAGCGCTTGCCTGGAGTCATTCTGTTCATAGAATGCGTGGCCAGGACTTAGATCTAGAAAGTTTGAATTTAGAAAAATATCCAGCCTGACAAAAGTAATCTGTGAAAGCATTTTGTGTAAATATCCAGGAAAAAGAAACAGTTATGCATACCTAATTAAATAGAATAAATATTAACTGTATAAAAAGTTAGAAATAAACTTAATTTGGTGAATTACACTTACAAAAACACAGAACACTTGACTAAGCCATCATTTTGACCCTGGCTTTTCCGTTTCCTGCAGGCCTGTTTTTCCATTCTTGGGGATTTTAAGTTGGCACAGCTCAGGGGAGGCTGGACCCGGAGTCAGGAGGCCTGGCCTAAAGCCCAGCTGCAGATTAAACCCGTGGGTCTTAGCTTCTCCTTTCCCGATCGCGCGTGCAGGTCCCACGGCTCCCCAAGCCCCTTCTGGCAACCAGTTACACCCTGCTCTAGGATGGAGCTAAGATGGAGACCCCCATTCTTCCCATATTTAGAATATCAAAGGCAGTTAACTTCTCATTGTTAATCCAAGGACTTTCCAGAAACAGCACTTGGTAACCTGGAAATGCTCAGCTTCCAGGAAAGATGAATGTTCTGCAGAAGGAGAGAAATGCAGGCAGCCCCTCCAGACCCTCCCCCACACATCTGCTCCCCCCAGTGCTGCCCCCGGGGTCCTTAGTGATGGGAGCACCCATCCCGGTTCCAGAAGCACCACCGGCCCAAAGCGGCTGCCAGCACCAGGCCGAGCAATGCTGACACCAGCTGCCCCGCCTAAGGCAGCTGACTTAGCTTCTCGGTCCCCGTTTCCACATCTACAGAATGAAACCAATAGTCATGTAAAACGTCCACCTCATCAGGTGGTTATGAGAGATGAGTTCAGCAAATGAATCTCTGCCGGGGGCTGACTCAGCCCAGCAAGCCACAGGCACAGGTTACCAGAGCAGAATGCGCCTCTGGGTCTGGGACGCTGTCTGCTCTGACTGCCCGAGGCAGCCGCAGTCATAACGGTGGTGCTGATACGGACTCTCTATGGAGCTCTACGAGGGTTTGATGACAGGGAGAACACTTGGCCGTGAACTTGCTGGCAGTGAGTACCACGGACTACAGGGGTTGGAATCAGCAGTGCAGGCAGCGCCTCGGCAGGCTCTTCCCACCTCTCCGGCTCTGGCCAGACTGGCATCGTGCATCCGCCCACCCTGCTGGGCCCATTCCAGGCCGAGGGACACCTGTGTGGGGCTGGCTCTGCGGAGGCCAGCCAAGACCGGTAAATGGGAAAGTTCTGAACTCCCAGCTTCATAAGGACAGGTTAGGAAAAGTAAATCAAACTCCTTGGACAACTGCAGATCCTGCTGCCTCTGCCTTGAGGTGGATTCTTACAACAGCAGGAGCCCTGGCCCCAGGGCTTCTAGCGACACGGGCGGCGTTGGAACCAGGGAGGATCCGCCCGGCGCCCTGCCCGGCCTCAGCAAACCACACACCCACGTTCACGCTCCTGATTTTCCAAAAGAAAGATTTCAGTGCCTCAAAGCAGCAGAATGTAGCTTGAATTTGCAGAGGTCTCTTCACGTGAACAATGGAAGTAAAAGATAACTTTGCAGAGAGCTAGTTGTTTCTGAGCTGCCCCCCACCAAGAGCAGGCTGATGAAACAGCAGGCTCCGAGGGCTCGGCCCCCCGTCGGGGCAGCCAAAGCCACTTTGCGTAAGTGGCAGCCATTCAACCTGCCAGCTCGCTTTTCATATGCACCCTGCTGCAAAACTGTTAAAAGCCACAGTGTGCCCGTCACAGGACTTTCCATAGACTCAGCACAAACATGCTAGTTACATTCAAAGCCACTTTTCAGCTGCGTATAGCGTTTACAATCAGAGCCTGTAATCTCCGGTCACTTTTCGGATACTCGAGAAGTTGTTCCTAATTCCCTTCTCACAGCCCCTCCTCAGTAGCAAACTCTGCAGCGGAACCTTCTGATTCTGAAGCTGAAAACCGTAAAGCATTCACCTGGGTTCCCAGGCAGGTATATGCATTAAAACAGCAGCAACCACAACCCTCCAAGGGGAAGGGGCGCCGGGCCAGGGGAGGAAAGGCTTAGGAGGGGCCACGTGCCTGCTCTTCAAGCGGGCAGTGAAAACTCCAGCGACGTTTAGGGTCACAGGCATGCCACCCACCTTCAACTAAGAATCTAGGTTGCGCTTTTTCCTTCTCCCCTTCTTAGGATTCCAGAGCTCTAATTTGTTAAAATTAGAGCACGATGAAATAACAGTGAATTTAAGAAATGATCTTACCTGGGCTGCTAGGAAGAAGCAGCGATGACCGCCGTCAGCGCTCCGGACCGAGTGGGAAGGGGCGGCCTGCGCGCTGGACGCTCCGGTGGACGTGGCCGCGCGGCTCCCGCGCCGCCCGCTTTATATGCGCTTCTCCTGTGCGGCGCTGTCAATCACACACGCGAGGAAGCACGTTTAATTCATTCCTTCGGAGGCATGACATCATGCCCCTTCTGATCTCACCATTTGTTCCGAGTACCTGCTGGGGGGTCCAAGTCCAGCCCCTCCAGCGGACGCCGCCTCCTCCTCCTGCTGCACCCCGGCCCCAGCCAGACAGGCCTGGGAGGAGCCAGACAGAGAGAGGGAAGGCAGGGACTCACTTTTCCTGTCTTCTCTCAGGAAATAAGATGCTATAAATAACACGAGCAAGATTGGCTGGAACTCCTCATTTTGCTTAAGAGAAAAAAAAGCAAGTTCTATGCCTTAAATATGTTTCGAATTACTCAGTGTGATACTGCTCTTTCTAAACCAAATGAGTGGCTCTCAATAACATAGGAAATAAATCGGTGAGTATAAGTAAGTAGTCTGTGTATTAATGAAGTTTTTATGGCCAATAATCAAGTTTATTACGTGACGAAGAGGAAATTTAATGTTAAAGGAAGTTGCCAGCATTTATCTCAGGCAGTTAGAGGGCGGAAAGCTGTACTGCAGCTTTGGGAAAACTTATGTTAACCCCAGTCCTCTTTCATCTGCTCAGTGAGGATTCCCTAGAAGGATGTCTCCCAGTGGATGTGCAAACCTGGCCAAGCCCTTCGGTGCCCAGGTTCAGGGGACTCCTCCAGAGGGACAGCCTGATGTGCAGGACCCCAGACAGCAGTGACCTTGCCTCTCACGGACCTCATGCTTCTCCCAAAATCAGGGTGCTCTCTGCACAGGGTTGCGGGGTGCTGCTTCTCAGAGGTCAGGATGGACGATGAATGGGGGGGTACAGCTTCTCCCAGGTCAAGATGGACAGTGGAAAGGGGAGCTGCTGCTCTAAGGCTGGGGTGGATGGTGGGTGGGAGAGCTGAGTCTCCCAGGTAAGGGTGGATGGTGGATT